GAGGCTCTTCTTACGTTCCTTACACTCTTAGGTGTAATACGAGGCCAAGACAAACATTATTTTAAATCAGTGCTGCCTGGCTATGTCCTTTTTCCTTCCTCTCCATTTTTACTCTTGACCCACCTATGCATGAATCCTTCAAGATGCTCCTTCCCCTCACACATACAATCCTGATCCAAGTCAGGTTGCCTGCATATACATACTCTAGAGTAATAATAAGGTATAGCTGCAAGGCAAAGGTTTAAAGTAATGTCTGTTTCGGCCCAGAGTTGAAAGGAATTCATGCCTTTGAGGGAGGGGCTGCAGCTCAGGGATTCAACTGTTAGTATCTCCAGGCAGAGCCACAAAAGAATCCCACATCAGCCCCTGGAGAATCGTGGCCAGTCAGGGGCAAAATTATTGGGCTAGGTGGACCAATTGTCTGGCTCAATAGAAGGCTGTTTCTTGCGTGCCTCTCAGGAGCTGCGTGCCGCCATCGGTCCACCCCATGTGGTGTCGTGAGAGGTTGGCCTCCCCACACAAAGGCCCTTTGAAGCACCTGGGCCACGAGGAAGAAAAGAAGAGGCCGCCTGCATATACTACATCAAGTGAGCTTGCACTTTGTACACTTTGAGCGGTTTGTTATTGTTTCCAATTGGTCTTGCGTAAGGCTCTGTAACAGCCTGTATGGATAAAGAGCGAAATACAGCCGCAAAAAGCCAGTAACACCTAAGAAATAGAGCACTGGACTTGGACTGAGGAGACCCTAATTTGGGAGATCCCAAATCCCAACTTGGCTATGATACTCATTGGGTGATAGCGGACAAGCCACTGTCTATTGGCCTTGTCTACATCTCGGGGTTGTTGTAAGGATAAAATGGAAGTGGGGAGTTGTCATGCTGAAGGTCCGTGGAAAAGAGACACCTCTACAACCTGTGATATCCAAAAGGAAACAGTCACTGTGGGAGATCCCTTCATTTCAAATATGTTTAGGACACCATCCCATTCAAGTTTAGAGAGAAGAAAAGATCTATGCTAGTAGTAGGACTTTTTGCATGTCTAGACCTGCATTGGATTGACCCTTAATCTGTTTGTAGCAGCTTTATCTTTTTAGATAACGATGGGGCAAAGGCAACCAAGACCTTAACAGTCTCCTTCTCATCCAAACTACTGATCCTAATTGCCCCCTTGCACTTACTCTTGGGTAATTTTTTATTTTCAAGATGTTACTGAGCTTATGCCTCTTGAAGTCATTGTTAAAGTGTCTTCTGTGGATGCAAGAGCCAACCAGCCTAGTTAATTGCAGTTTCCTCCAACCTGGTGCTCTCTAGAAGTTTGGGACTTCAACTTTTATCAGCCCTGACCATCACGGCCAATGGTCAGGAATGGTGGGACTTGTTACCCAAAACATCTGGGGTCACCAGATTGGGGAAACTTGCTTTATATTTAAAACTTGAGTGAGCTGTATACCCAGCTACCCAAAAAGCCATGTTTCATGCTCTGAACTTGCTCTAGCAACAGTAGTGCCAGAAGCATATTTTCCAGATAATTTCTCAAAACAAATGGCATGTAAGGATGGGTATGACAAGCCACAATCTCATGCGTGAGGCCCTTTCACAAAACAATTGCTACTTGGTAACATGAATATCCTGGTAAACCAATTAATACATGTGGGGTTTTTTTTAATCCTTGATTTCTACAGTGTGATAAAAATCAAGGGGAACTGTTCTGTTGTTAAAAGTAGTCTGAAATTGCAACTGTACCACATCTTGAAAATTCAGACTGGCTACTAACCGCTTGGAGTGCAAGAGTCCAAGCTGCAATATTGCCATCTAGTTACAAGAAACATTTGACTCATTTGCAAAACAAACAACTCTAGGACCCCTGGAAGTGGGGAGGAAGGAATTGTTCTTTGCTATTCTAATGCTCTTCTTTTTACTCTACTGTGTTGAAGTAAACCTGTGTTATACACTCCCTAGTCCTTACCACAAGTAGGAAACCTATGGGGTGACGTGGCTGCCTAGGAATGAGGGAGTGGGCATATACCGTTAGCAGGATTGCAGGACCTTGGAGAGCTCAAGGAAACAACTTCTTCTGACCAAAGGGCTCAACTAAGAAGCTTTTTACTTCACTTGGTCCAGATTCTGTCTCCTTCCCGAAGAGCAGTGAGTCTTACATGAGTAACCTTCTAGCCATGAGCCTAGTATTCCATCACTTCTCCAATTTTATCCATGGCTCATTGGTGACCATCTAGCCAGTGATGCAGCTAAGTATTTTACATCATGTCATGGGATCCACCATCTGCATCATTTAAGTTGAGGAGCACACAACTAACAGATCTCTTTTCCCTCACTGCTACACCATGTTTTACAATTCTGTACCACAATTCTATACTACCATAGAAATACTTCTATGACACTATTCCATGATTTTTACCATTGTGCTCTTAGGGCAAACAAGAGTAGCAGTGGTTTTCTAATGCTGATAAACATTCTGAGCAAATATAAGTTTGCTCACTCAAAACACCATCTCAGCTACAGGAATAACAAGGAGATTGCATGTGCTAAACAGATGTTTTGGGTTTAAGCACTGTTGTTGTTTGTTTTGTTGTTGTTGTTTTGCAGTAAAGGATTCTCTACAGGGCCAGAGCGACTGACACAGTATAAGGCAGACTCATGCGAAGGAGGAATGATGGAATCTACTTTGAACTGTACATCAGTCGTCAGCAACCTGATACTCTCCAGATGCAAGTGCCACCATTCCAGCCAGTATTACCACAATGCCAGGGCTACATCCGCAGCAGTCTGGGAAACCTAAATGGTTGCCAGCCACTGCCCCTACTGGGAGGGCACTCAGCCAAGAGCCCCACTTAGCATTAGATACTGGCCATGCTATCTGGGAGAGATGGAAGTTGAGACCAACACGTATGGGGGGCACCAAGTAGGAGAAGACTGCATTATATGCCTGTTATTTTCTGTGATCAGCCATGAAAGGGCATTTCCTTGCTATTGTGATTATTTTTTGGCGGGGGGTGCAAAGGCAGAGGCAAATAACTAAGAGAAAGAAGACACAAACATTTTCAGAGCAAGGTTTTTATTGCAAACTTGCAAATGAGAATCTATGTATGAAAAATGAATGGGGAGTTTACAGCACAAACCTGGGCACTCTGTTTTGCTTTTCTGATCTCTGAAACCACCCTTTTTAAAACCAGGCTGGCTCCAGGTTTAAAGGCGCTCTCCTACAAGGAACTCCTGTCCATGGGCTTCCCTGGCAGTAGCATGCAGCCATTTTTCTTTCTCATAAAGCTGATGCTTCACCAGTGGCATTCTGGGAAGTTTGAGTGGTTGCCGGTCACTGCTGCTATGAGGGTAGATGGATTAGCACCAGGATCATTTGTGCCTGAAGAGGCAAAAGGTCTACAGGGAAATCAGTTATGTACCTATGGAACTATTCTTGATTGATCTGCGAGATTTTGAGGGACCACATGGGTATTTGTATAAATCCAGACTTAAACCTGTATTCCTTACAGGCCTAAGCAGAATGTTTTGCAAAAGACTTAAGTGGCCACTAGGATATATAACACTGAACACATTTCTGCAATCAAACTTGATTGGCTTAATACACCATTGTTTAAAAGAGTCACCAGGACCAATTGCTCTAATCAAATATCACTTGGAAGCTGAAAAAGTTCTGAGTACTGTAACAATGAGAGATAGTCAAGCTTAACTGGCCTGATGACAATGTCTTGGACAGCTCTAGCCCTGTTCATATACTCTGACCTTGAATGGGGTAAAAGTTTGAGGAGAAGGCTCTCTAGCTCCACTCATCTGCTCTGTGGCATTTTCAGTGTTCTTGCTCACATGGGTAGAGGAGGGCTTCCTCTCCAGGCTGCTGTTCTCCATGAAGGCAACACGCACAACAAAGGAGAGGGGTGGGACTGGAGAATTCTTCCTCCTCAAGCACATGCCCTATGCAGAGTTAGAACACCTGAAAAAGGCTTAGGTGGGTGTGGGGGAACGAATTCTTCCATGAGAACATTTTATTATATTTATATCCTGTATTTTTCTTTTCAAGAAATGTAAAGCAGCTTGCATAATTCGCCTCCTCCTTTCAGTCTTATTCTTCAAACAACAACCCTGTGAGGTAGGTTGAGTTGAGAGCCTCTGACTGGCCCATAGGCACCCAGTGAGCTCCATGGCTGAGTAGGGACTAGAACCCAGATCACTTGAGTCCCAGTCCTGCAGTCTTAATCACAACACCACATGTTACATTGGCTTGATTTATTATATAATTAAGTTGCTATATGTTCAACTTTCCAATAACCAAGGTTCTCTAGACTGTGTACATTTATATCCTTTTTTCTTCCATCATGGAACTCAAGGAGGAATTGTATGGAATTTCAGGTGGTCTCCCTTCCAAGCACTAACCAGGGTCAAACCTACTTAGCTTCAGCAAGATTCATGAGCCTTCAGATTGTTCCTTCAACTTGACCTGGGATAGTATTAAATAGTGCTTAAATAGTATGTGTACTGGTGTCAGAAAGTTCCTCTTTTGCCTTTTTATTGAATTTTCTTCTAGCTCTGAGGAACACCTAGAACTACAGTAGCAAAGAAGATAGTTACTTGGAGAAGTTTAGATTAAACTGAGAAGACTTTCAGATGAGCTTCTGTGTCGTGGCTGTTGGCTACAGTGTAAGAAAATCTGGTGGATTTACAAAAACTACACAAAGTGGAAGAGTGGCCTATCAGGCAACAACATTTCAGAACCTCTTCCCTATACTAAACTGTGAGAAATGCAGGCTGTTGTATATATAGCTGTATGTAGTCACAGAGCAAATGTAGATGAAGCTCTATCAATGAAAGAGGGCAAGAGGAAGTAGTCTAGGCTTTCATGAGCATAAATAATCCATCTATTTTACAATTTGTTGTCCTCAGCATCTCACTTCTGCCCTTTCTGGCTGCAAATCCGACACCCAGATTCTCAAGCTGCTGCAGAGTTTAGTGAGAGCACATGGGCTGCATTCAGAACCAGCTCACTTTATTGGATTTGAGTCCTGAGTAACACATGTTGTTGCTGCAGGTGCCTCCATAGTTTGGTGGGCAGGCTGAGCAGGGCCTCCCCATTTTGTAAGGTGCTTCTCCTATCCAATTTCCCCTGGAAAGAAAAAGAGACAAGGCATAAGTCATGCTTCTTCACTGAATACTCATATGGAAATTTTCATTTATGCAGGGAATAATCCTATGGCCCCTAGACATTGTCTGGGGGTGGCATAGGACTGTTTGGATTCCCTGCTCCCTGGTTGGAGACCATGAAGCTGGTAATTGGAGCTCCAATCAACTCCCTTTTGCAGCTGGTACACAGACAACCAACTGTTCCCCACACTCAGGAATATCATCTTGGAAAGGGGGAAGAAGGGAGCAGGGAAGGGGAGAGGAAAATTGAGAGGCCAGGATATGAGGTATCCTGAAGCCACTCAAGCCTCCGTCCATTTCCCTGTGCTATGCTATAGATGTCTACCTTGTCTTTTAGGGTATTTGCCCTCCAAAGAGACCCTACAAACCAACTGGCAAAACAATATAATGAAATTGCAGCTATTAAAGCAAACAAAAAACAGCATAAGGCTGCAATCCTAGTGCCTCATGGAAGGAGGCCCAGGGGCTGTGTTTGGGAAAAGAGAGAGTTCAGTCCTGAGAGTTCAGGGGGCGATCTGACTTTGGATGCCCCTCCCCTCACTCTTCTGGATTCCTTGGGGTCTCTGATATTGGAGCTAAATGGAGGATTGCTTCATAAGTAACATTTAAAATAGCAATAAATAGAACCATAGTTAAAACAGAGTGCAATAAAATCACCAAAAAGCAGTCTGGAGTAAAAATGTTTTGAGAGCTGCTTTAAAAGCAAGCTAAGAGAAGGCCCTGTTGCTGGCACACACAGCCGAATGGCTCTCACTGATGAAGCACAGAACAGGGCCTCTGATGCCAGTCTTAGGTGTGGAGAGGTGTATGGATGGAGGCAGTCCTTCGGATAGCTTGATTCCAAGCTGTTTTGGCCTTTGTCGGCTAAAGCAAGCACCTTGAATTGTTATCTCTTTAAGAGCAGGTTCACATAGAGCACATCACAGTAATGTGGTCTGGATGTATCTGATGCATGCACCACTAAGGTGAGATCTTTCTTCAATCGATAAGGCCACTGATGGAGAGCAAAATGAACCAGGTTAAAAGCGCTCTTGGCCACTGAGGACACCTAGGCCTTGCCGTCACAGAAAAAACAGTGTCCAGGAACACTCCTAAACTGTACACTTGCCCTTTAAGAGGGATTGTAGTCCCCCCTGTGACCAACCGTGTGCCATCGTTTAGGGTGGCAGAGTGGCAACCAGGCAGAGAAGCAACAGAAAGTTTCCTGTACAGATAAATTATTCTGCTGCATGTCTGCATGAGGAATAATGGGATGCAGACACAGCAAAAATTCACAGCACCCAGGAGAGGTTGATTGGGAGGACACAGAGCAGGAACTGTAAATCACACAGAAATGCAACGGCCAGCACCCTCTTTGGAAAGGTACATTGGCTAGTATTTGTTTTGTTTAGCTCCTGCGGCATACAAATTTGGCGATTAATGCTCTAGGATAAGTTAGGAAACACTGCCTTCTGCTGGATAAACCAGAGGCATAAAGCCATACTACTGATGCCTTCTTACCTTGCAAGAATGTCCCAGTCTTTATCTCTTTATATGAAAAGAGACTGAAGAAAGGATTTTGCAAGAAGTTGTGTGTGTAAGAGGGAGGGAGCGAGGGAGGGAGGGAGCACAAGAGAGTGGTGCTTCCTCGTTTTCCCTCTGCCCATGTCCCCTTCCCAAGTTACACTTCATGTGCTGCTTTCTTTGTACCATTCCTTGAGGAGCCAGATGTAGGACACCAGTTTCTTTTATATGCCTATACGTAATAAAATCTGCATAGTCCAGCATTCTTCACTGCAATGGCCAAGGTCTACTGGTGGCTCCCAGTCACCTCATGTATCTCCCTCTGCTTGTCTTTCTTTTGCTTCTTTCTTGACAGTAGCTGCTCATTTGCAGTAGAAGCTCTCTAAGTTCCTGTTTGCTTGAGTGGTGGGCCAGCTGCTGTCATTTGGGCTACTGGAAGAGGCTTCAGGGCTTATATGCTACAAAGGAGATTGCAAGAGCAACCAACTTTTTTCTGGAGTGAAGGAGTCCAAAAAGCACAGAGCAACATGACTGGCTAGCTGCAGTGGCACATTGTTCTGGCAGTGGAGACAGAAGGGAAACCGAAATCATGGGCATGGTGGTGGGGAGAGAGAGCAAGAGAGAGAGAGAGAAACATGGAATTGCACGGGGGATATTACAGCTCTGAGTAACGCACAGCACTCGCTCAATGATGAGAAAAGGACCTGGTCCCATCCAAGGACCAAGTGAACCTGAAGGAATTTGCCTGCCTGGGGGCTGGGAAGGTGAGAGCTCCCACTGTGGTGTATGAATAACCTCTTGAAGGGCTCAGTAATGGTGGCTAGAGCCAAAGGGATTCCTGCCTGCAAAATCACTGGTGCAGTCCAACAATGTTATTTGGTAAATGACGGTGCATACGCAGGGTTGCTTATCATTTAGGATGTAATGAACTTATGTCAAAAACATGGCTGGGCCAAAATGTCTCTCCATTTTTTTCTCCCCATTCACATAGGTCAAAACTCTGTATGTGCATGCTGGGATATTTTGGAAATTTGGGGACAGGATACTAGAGATTGTTGATGGCTGTCTCTTTTCTTTCCCATAAGTCTCCTGGAATGAAACACCAAGTTGACATGTTATTGCCAGGGGAATATGAGAAATAAAACCGGTGGCCACTACCACTACGAGTTCGTACTGCTGCCACTGCTTTGCAACTTAGAGTGGCAAACAAAAGGTAAGCTATGTGGGAGCAGGGGACAGAACCAGCCCAGCATTTGAGGCAAATATTTTGAGTTCAGATTATGAAGAGATTCTGAGTAAGTACTCTTGCTTAAGACCAGAAAAACTGCCTCCTGGATCCTTCTAGTCCATCGGGTTTTTTTGCAAGAATATCTGTAAACAGTAAGTATTAGACAAAAAGTGTTGTCTGTGGAGTACAAACAACACTGCATGGCCTGCTTGCCTTGAAAAAGTCCCAGGTAGCAGAGTGTGAAGAGTCAGGATCCTTCAGCTTGTGAGTCGATTACAGGAGGGAGAAGGACTAGCTGCCAGGATTCCTGGACTGATCAGTGGTTTGGGAACCGAGGTTTCTAGAAGGAGTGCTGGTTTTGTCTGATCAAAGCAGGTACTAAGCCTCCAAAACTATTTTGCCCAAGATAAATAGTTGGTGAAGGGGGAGAGTTGTATGTGAATCTGTAAGAATGTAATGGACCTTGCTCATGGACAGTCACCTGAATGTTGTTCTTAGGGGCTGAAAAGGGTGTGAAGCTCTGTACCAGAGGGTTGAGCAGATATTGGCCAGTAGTTCCCCAGTGGCCAAGTGCATATTTATTTATTCAGAATTTTTTATATGCAGTCCCATCGCATAGCTTCGGGACAGCTTACATAAAATAAATAAACATAATACAAATAGTGCAAATAAAATCCAGATTCAGTGGTTACTAGTTCAATGGCTACTAGTTATTTCCTCCAGTATCAGAAACAACATGTTTCTGTATACCAGTTTCCAGAGAACCTGAAAGGGAGGGTCTGATTGGACTCATGCTCTGCTTCTCAGCTCCCTATGGGCATGTAGATGGCAAGTATAGGAACAGGCCTTTGGTCTGATCCAGCAGGGCTTTCCTCATTCAGCCCGCTCCTGCGCCAGGTTACTCTCCAGCTCCCCTCTGCTCTCGCACTGGCAGCTGCATCCTGATGACACTTCCGAGACGTTACTTACTTGATGGCATAGTTGCACACAAGGTAGACTGCTCGCCGCCATGTGTTGCCCCACACGTTCATGTTGGTGCAGGTGTGGATGGCGCAGCCAATTCTGTTGCTAGAAGCCCACACCATCTATTGGGGATATTAAAACAGCTGTTATAAAGAAAAAAGATGGGCCTAGACCAGAAGACTCATTCTTGATTGGGGTACTCCAATGGGTTTTGTTTTGTAGCTTCTCTTTTAGAAATGAACTTTGATGACGGCCAAGTTAAACATCCAAGATGGGAACCAGCATGCCATTAAATACCAGTTAGTGCAGGGAGAGGGGACAACAGTCAGAGAAGACTCTTGGCCTCATGCCTGTCTCCTGCCTGTCTGGCTGGCCCGGCTGGCCACTGGGAAAAAGAGGGCACAGGACTACACAGACCTTTGTTCTGCTCCAGTGGAGGTCCAATTGTGCCTTTATTATGGCCTCTACTAGAGACCTTTCCAACCTGGGGCCGTCTAGTGCCCTGCCACTCCCAGCATCCTAGTTGCTGTAGCCCAACACATCTGGGCGGCATAGAAATGTAATAATAATAATAATAATAATAATAATAATAATAATAATAATAATAATAATCTGGAAAGACTGCTTCTGCTAGAAGAATTCTGATGGGCCCATTAAGTAAAAGCAACTCTAAAGAGGGCGTTCATGGAGCAGAAAAAAGCAGGAAGGCACAGATGCTTGGCAGCACCTCAGACAAGGTCTCAGGAGTCACCACACTGAGCGACCGGAAGGCACTGGCAAGGGCAAGTGTCCATCAGGATAGAGGCTCCTAGAGGTCCTGAACAGTGCGATCCTATGCACGTCTACTTGGAAGTAAGCCCATTGAATTGATTGGGGCTTACACCCAGGCAAGCACATGGAGGAGTGTAGCCTAAGCCTTTTGAGAAGTCTATAAATGCCCCTAAGTGGCAGAATCATATGGAAGAAGATCTCGCTTTTTATGCCCTGCAGTCAACCTTTTTTCTGCCAAAATGCTATGCAAACCATCCAGACCATCCACAGAGTACTCCACACAGGGTTTAGTAAAAAGCCATTATATAGGGGGGAAATGCAGTTCAGGAATAAGAATGCAAGAAGAGTCCTGCTGGATCAGACCAATGGCATATCTAGTGCAACATTCTAGGTGTCCCAGAGAAGCCCACAAGCAGAGTACACTAGATTTCTTCCACTCATGTTCCCTGGAAAGTGGTGGACAGAAGCCTGCTGCTTCTGCCACTGAAGGTCACATCCAGCCATCATGATTCAGCCATGATGACATTCTCCATGAATTTGTCTAATCCTCTTCCAAAGCCTTCCAAGTGGATGGACATCAGTACATCTTGTGGAAGTGAATTCCAAAATTTAACTATCTGCTGTGTGAAAAAGTACTTTCTTTTATCTGTCCCGAATCTCCCACCAATCAGGTTCATGGGTTCTCACAAGAGAGTAAGAAAAATGTCTCCCTATGCACTTTCTCTACTTCACACATAATTTGGGACATCTCTTACATGTCTCCTCTTACTTGCCTTTAATCTAAGCTACACAGCCCCAGAAGTTGCACTGGGGGAACTGTCCCAGCCCTTTGATCACTTTTGTTGCCCTTTTCTGCCTCCTGGCCCTATTGCTGCAAAGGCTCTTTAGAAATTGACTGAATCGGCTGAGCAGCTAACTGGCATTCTCATATGAAAAGGGATGGTTTTCCTAAAATGTGTTTCCCACTTGTCTCCTGTCTCTTTACCTCCATTTCTGCAGACACAACATTGGAAATGAGACCATTTAGATCTCATACGGCGTCTATAAACAACACAGACACCCATGCAAATATGGGGCTGGGTATTTCCAGAAGCCAGACTGGCAAGGCAGAAACAGCCCCATTCTGGAGCTGTGCAGCACCCTATTCATTATGGGCTGGAAATGCTTTGCCACAGCCCCATGTCAGACAAGGAGGTTTTCCACCTTGGGCTGGCTGCACACCCGGGGCGGAGCAAATGAAGGCCTTGCATTCACTGTGGTGCCAGAGGCTACGGCAAAGGCCTGTCACCACGGAGATGATTCACAAGGAGTGAGGCGGGAAAAGGCTTTAGCGCTTGGCATGTCTGTGTCAGCCTCTTTGTGGGAAGGAACAGGAGATGGAGACAGGCAGGCAAGGAAGACCTCAAAACTTCAGCTCTGACTGTCCCTTCTACCAACGGGACCTCACAACACCAACCACATTATGGGAAGGGTCCTGATGACTTGTGATTTTCTGGTGTTATTTGTAAATTGCCTTGCAAGGATTTATATTCTAAAAGGCAGTATATAAATAACAATAGTAAACAAATAGATGATGAAGAAAAAGGAGGCTGCTATTTATTCTTCTTTTCTTCTTCCTTTATTGTCCAAAACAGGATTCAAGCCAGTTGCCTAAAACCTTCCCATTGTGCTAAAGAAAGTGCAGTGAAATTGCCCTTTAGAACTGAAACTAGGATTGCCAACACTTCCAGTAACTCCTGCTCCTGTGCCTCTAACACCAGCATAATATTGTATTATAACAAATAATATTTTTGCTGTTATAAACAGCTGGATTCTGCAGATAAAACACAAAGGCAAGCCAGGGTGTTTCCCCCCGAACGACTGGCAATCCTAGCTGAAACTCTGCAGATGATCTGTGTGGCAATGCAACTTCAACCCAAAGCTGTGGGTTTACTGGACAGTGGTGGGCATCAGTCCTGTTTGCACAATCGCAGAGGGGGGAATAGGCCACTGTGGCTTATTTTCCCCTTCATGATTATGCCAACCCAGTCATGTCTGTGAAGGTCATGGGATAACAATTAAATCTGGTCCCAGAGTCATAGGTATCCTTGAGGGGAAGCTGTTCATTTGAGTATTATAGTCTGCATTCCTTGACGGCTCATTTTTGTAATTTAAAGCAGGCTGTCTCCCTGCAGTGTCAGTGTGCTTTCTCTTCTGCTCCTGTGACAGCGGGGTAGTGGAAAAAGCAGGCAGTGCTCCCAAGAAGGAGGCTGAGGTCTGTACAGTGGAATTGGTTTGCTTGCAGGAATGTTTGGCTGACAGTGCTGAGTGGCAAATTAAAGGGCCAGTATTGGAGGAAACAATGCTTTTCTTTCTCTATTATGGCTCAGAGGCCTAGAGTATAACTGAAGACCATTTCCTCCTATTAATATTTGCTTTTAAGGCTTCCTTGCTGCTGCATTTCTGCCCCATTCCCCTTGCTGGGTTCTATACAACTTTGAGGTGGCATGGCATGACAAGAGGTGCAAAAAAACTTATTTTCTTGCAAAACAACAAAAAAATATCTAGGTGTGCCCTAGGTAAGACATCCTCTCTTAGATTCAGCTCACAAACCTGCAATATAGGGTGTGATAGCCAGCCTAATTTAGAATGGTTCTCATGGTTACTAAAATAAGGTATGGCCTTCCAAATGCTGTCGAGCTGGAACTCCCATTAGTCCCAGCCAGCCTAGCCAGTGGTGAGGGATGTTGGGAGCTACAGTTCAGCAACATCAGGAGAACAAAAATTTCCCATGCCTGTACAGAAAGAAAGAGAAGGAAAGAAGGAGAGAGGGAGAGGGAGAGGGAGAGGGAGAGAGAAGGCTAGAAAGAAAGAAAGCTTTGAAGCCACATCATTTCCCCCACCCCAACACCAAAAAAAAAAAAAAAATGTTGGAATTCTTGGGGACACAAAAATAGAGAAAGTGCTACCAATCCAGTTCTAGGTATACATAAGCAACTGCACACCAGGCTAGCTAGTGGGTGAGATGGCTATCCATACTTCCATTCTATGATAATTCCAATGGCTTCAATGAAACCTAGATGAGCAACTTGAGGAAGATCTAAATGGTCATGCAAAAGCACATAAAGAAGTACAAAAGCTGCATGTATATAGCCTTACAGAGATTCCACCTGATGATTATCTCCTGTTTACTGAATCCCACACATATTAGACATTTAGGGTGCAATCTTATGTACATTTGGACAGAAAAAGTCCTACAACTCTCAGTATGCAGGCTAGGGAATACTGGGAGTTGTAGGATCCTTTTGGTCTAAATATGGATAGGATTGTACCGTTAAATGTCTAACTTTCTCACAGCTGAAGGCAAAAGATTACAAGCAGAAAGGATAAAAACCTGTACTCTGTTCTTTGAATGAATACATAGAGAAACTTTTGACTGTGTCATTCATTTCAAAAGAGTACGTGCAAGGATTGGATCCTTGCAGCAGCTTCCTATATTGAAAAGAATGTGACAGTCTGTGAAAAGAATGGGAAAAGGGTATGGAAGGGAAGGAGAGAGGGAGGAAAAGAATGAAAGACCTAAAGGAGGGAGGAAAGCTAGATAGACCCTCTTCACATACACACCAACTGCATGGGAGCTGCTCACCCCTGATGTTATCCCCTGAGCCAATGGTATGCATGTGAATAGCACGATCAGGGGAGCAATACCCATCACCTGGATCCTTTCCATCCTGAAGTGGAAGGAAAAATGATGAGAGCAACTTGTCAATGGTAAGCACAAATGCATGGCACTATCATGTGGGGTAGCACTATAAGAAAGCGACTCTCCTGTGGCTGGGTATGAATGTGCAGGGACCCAGAAATGGCTCTGGTACTAAATGCAACATTTAACACTTAACTACAATGCTATAATGCCCAGTCTATGGTTTGTACCTGGGTGTAATGGCTGCAGACAGAACCGCTACATTTGGAAGGGCATCTGGGCTTGCATTCATAGGGATAAGGGAAGGAGTAGTGCTGCTTCTCATAATACCAAGATTTCACAAGGTCCACAGCTGAATGGTACCTACAGAGGGCCACACGCAATGCACAGTTTATTCATTTATCTGCCAAAATTATGTTCCTGGCAAAACAAAGAAGCCTGCCTGACCAAACCCAGAAGCCTAAGGCACGGAGCAGGTAGATGATGGGCTGCTTCCAACCCCCTCCTGTTCCTGCCTCGCTCTGGTTCATGGCAATGCCATGAAGTCATCACAGGAGTGTTCCCCATCCATTGCAAGTGACAACCAATTAAGCAGAGTGGGGGGGGGGGGCTGAATGCACTGATGTGGGAAAATAAGTGGAATGTGACCACACCTTACCAGGGAGACTGCATGCCCGGGTGTCCTGCTTTATAGAGGACAGCCTTTGATTTGAAGGCATCTGACACTGGGCTGACCTGTCCATGTTTGATAAAGAGCCTTCAGAACATTCATAAATGCAAAGGTTTGTTTGTTGCCCTTATACTATAGCTGCAAACTTGAGCTGTACGCCGATAGTATACAATTGCATGCAGATCACTTTCAAGTAAGTGTGGATATGGAGGCAGAAAATATGCACAGAACTGCATTACAAGACTTCCCATATGCTTATTAAGTAAATTGAACAATCTTACTTTTTTCAATCTATCACTCCATCCATCATTTTAATTTGTAGAATCTACATGTTATTCCTCTAAAGGAAATAATATATTTTTATTTGTATTTCTGAATTTCCAAGTGATACTATTTATTGTTTACTATTTCTCTCTTTTACATTATCATCATTAAAAATAATGGGAAATTTAAATAAGGAAACACTAATTTTTTTCTGGAAAAGAAAATAGTGTGCAATTGTCAGCTATAATATAGATTGTTTACTACCAATATTATTGGGAATGAGTAGCTAATGCAAGAGTCTTCTGTTTTTATCTGTTTTTGTCTGCCTATCTATTAATACAGAGACAACAATTATTTGACTGGAGCCATAAAGAAATCAACATACTTGCATGAGTCAGCCATTATAATATCTCTTTTTGAAAAGTAGGATTTTGTTTTAAGCTATTTTACATTTTATTTTAGCACAGAGGAAACACAACTCCTTTCATAAAGGGATTTAGCAATTCCACCAGAAAGCAACACAAAGTACTAACATACTTAAAAGTAGTTCAGTTAACGGCCCTGCTTTATTTACATTTATTTAAAGTGATATAAAGCTGCATGGAATTAACTCTTTTAATCTGAAATTTGTTTCTAATGAAGCAGTGCCTCTGAAATTTTGCAAGAAGGCTGCCTTCATCTGATACATCATTCTCAGTTCACTGATGGAGGACTCCTGCTTACCTGCCAGACTGAATGGCAAGGTTTTGACCAAGGAATTTCATCAGTTGCGGAGGTCCATGTCCCCACATACACTGTTTTGCCCATGCTTCTGCCGATCTGGCTAATCTCTCATCCCACACCTGGTACAGTGAAAAACAAGAACACATTGATGCAACAAACAACAGATTATGGGCTCAAGATAAAACTGAACAATCCTTCCCCTCATCCTTCATGCCAACCTGATATGACACTGGGCAAAAGAAATTTTGGAAAGGTAATTATCAGAACTTGGTGGATATAGTTAGGGAACCTTTCTTCTGTCGCAGGCTGTATCCTGTGAGGTGCAATTTGTCAGGGGCTGCTGTGGGCAGGGTTAGAGCCAAAAGTAAGTGGACCTTCCCCTTGCTTTGCTCTTTCTGAAGTGCCCTTCTTTCTCTCATCCTTTCTCCCTTTCTTCTTCCACCCAGGAGAGGGACAGGTTGCTCTCGCCAGAAGTGTAAACTGCTTGCTTGCAGAGAGTTCTCAAAATTAGGCTGGGGGCAAGCGGGCCTTCACGGGCCTTAGGTTGCCTCCCACTGAGCTGGAGCTTTGGAAAGACTAAGTGTTACAGCCTTATATGAACTGTACCATTTCAGGTAGTGGTAGGAAAACACATGTCTGATGGCTCTCTCGTCTGAAAATCTTGCCGGGCACAGAAATCTTGCATGTAAGAGAGAAGCGTAAATGCCTCATTTGTGGATGTCACGCTAGCTTTCCGAGTACAGGCCATCTTTTCACATGGAAGACCACCGAATTGTATTCACTCCTACATCCAATCATAAATGGAACCATGTTCTTTGGGCACATTTCAGCCAGTTCTTCAGTGTTGCTTTGGTTGCTAAATGGCTCATTTAAATCAGTCTGTTGAGGAAATTAGGAGGTTATACTGACAAAGCCCCTCTAAGCTACTCCCTCAGCGATGCATCCATGAGCTGCGTGTGGAAGAAGGTCTATGCACAGAGACACCCTGGCCAATCTCAATTCACATTTGTATAGTCCAAATGCACCTATGTATACATGCACAGGTTCTCATTCACATTGCTGCCACATGTGCAGGTGCTGGAGTGCATATGACCAGAAGATGAGCTGATGGGGTGGGGACTGTAGGGATGACCTGGCTATCCCCACTGCATTCACTGAATACCTCTCACGAGTGAGATTATCATTTGATTATATTCATAACTATTGGCCCTGCATAAGCATGTGAGAACTGAATTAGCTGGAAAGCATTCCAGTGGAGAAGATGAGTATTGACAGAAAATAACTACCCTTGGCATTTACATGTTAGTGCCATTTTCTCCCTTCTAATTATTGCACCGGCATCTTCCTGGAACTCAAGAAATTCCAAATGGAATTCATGCAGTAAACAGGATGGCATTACTATGCTAGAGTCAAGCAGCTTTGGCTAAGCAATGCCTTTCCTAAAGACAAATGACTCCAATTGAGAGTGAGGGCAATGCTTCCTTGATTATTAGCAGAGGTGACCCCAGTCAGTGGAAGGCCACAGAACAAGCAGCACAAAGTCACAGTGGTAGTTAGCCAGCTGGATGCAGCTAAGTGGTTAAGTGATGACATCACTGCAGGCAAACAGTGTCCATTCAGAGTGAGGGCAACACTTTCTGGGCAAGAAACATAGAATAGCAGAGTTGGAAGTGGCCATGAAGGCCATCGGATCCAACCCTTTGCTGTTGCAGGACAGCAATTTACACCATCCCACTCAGATGACTATCCCGTTTCTTTTTTAACGTCTCCAGATGGGAGAGCCCACAACCTCTCTAGGCAACTGGTCCACTGCCATACTGCTCTGACAGTGAGGAAACATTTCCTGATATCTAGCTTGTACCTGGGTTGTCGCAACTTGACTTGATTATTCCAAGTCCTATGCTCTGGCATCAAACCCTTTCAAACACTTGAGAAGCATTCTCTCCAGAATTGCCAAAAATGTGCATGTGGATGTGTGTGAATACTTTCTGAACTTTCTATGAAAGTTACTATGGATCAACCTTCAATAAGATTCCAGTTTTGAATGAAGGTGATTGTGACCTTAAAGAAAGCAGATAAAACTGACTGTCACTTGCAGGTAGTAACTTGTGGTCAGGTGAAGCTATTTCAAAGATTATATGAACTGCTATAGTGCTTGCTAAGTATTCATGCAGTTCCCTTGAGCTGTTGTTGCAAGCTATTTGAGCAATCATGAGTGATAATCAACACAATCTTTCTCCCTGGACCATATGATCATGCTGTGCACAGCAGATGGTTTCCTCAGCACAGCTCGGCAAGGCTATCCCTCACCATTGGAGGTGGCTCCCATATGTTACTATCATCACCATCATTTTTTGAGTACAATTTGATTCATGATAAACTCAAACCATCAGAAACCAGTAGGGATCTTGTGAGGAACTTCTGGAATAGCTGAATGGAATTTATATATGCTCCATGGCTCTTCTTGCTCCACTAACCATATAAACATAGAGATCCCTTGTCAGTGCATCAGCTCCAGCGCCAGCATGACTTCATGCTTGCACAAAAGTGGAAGAGAAAATTCATATTTGATCTGATTGTTTCTTTGTTAATGCATCTTTATTTAATACATAGAACCAATAATCTAGCATACTAACAAAAGCTGACAAATCCCCACAGTGGAAAGTGAGCAAAGTTCGTCTCAAATGCACTGTTACTGCTGCAGAGTGAAAAAGCAAAGAAGAAAAGTTCAAGGTTCCTGCACTTTCCACAGCTGTGTGAAAGTGTGTACTGGCCTGTAATGGGAAGGATCCAACAGTAAAGTGCTGCTAGCAGAGATGCATTTCACTGGTGCAAATCAACAGTACTCCTTAGTATGACAACTTCCTGGGAAATTCCTTCTACTAGCAACACTACTGACATTGCAGGAGACTAGGTGTCAAAGAACTGTAAGGGACCATTCAAGCCATTGAGTCCAAATCACTGCACGGTGGAGGAATCGAGTTTAAAGCACCCCGAACCAAGCTAAAAGCACCCTAACCAATGGCTGTCTGGTCTTTACTTGAATACCTCTAATGATGGAGAAGTTACCATCTCACTGGGCAGTTGGTTCTCCAACCAACTGTGGATCCACCTAGTAGTAATGCCATCCAGCCCATATGAAACCAGTTTGTTAGTCAGGATATCATGGGGCACTTTGTCAAATGCCTTGCTGAAGTCAAGATATACTATGCGCATAGCATTACCACAATCTACTACAGCAGGTACCTGTTTAAAATATGAATTACTGTCAGAACTTTTTTTTTGACAAATCCAAGTTGCCTTCCACTGATTACTGTATTAGTGTCAAGGTACCTAAAAACTGCAATAATCTTCCTGGGAATTGATGGCAGACTCGTCTATAATTCCCCAGACTTTCCTTTTAGCCCTTTTGAAAGATAGGGATTGTGGCCTCCTCCAGTCCTCTGTTATTTATTTATTTATTTATTTATTTTCCGATTTATATCCTGCCTTTTTCCTACAAAGGGCTCAAGGCAGCTTATATCTCCTCCTCCATCTTATCCCCACAACAACAACCCTGTGAGGTAGGTTGGGCTGAGAGTCTGTGACTGGCCCAAAGTCACCCAGTTGGCTCCATGGCTGAGCGGGGACTAGAACCCAAATCGCCTGAGTCCCAGTCCCATGCTCTTAACCACTACACCACACTGGCTCTCC